AGGTTATCACAGCTATTCGAGGCTATGGAGTTGAAAGGTACATCAATGGTGAGACAAAAAAAGCAGACAAGCTCCTCATAGACCCGCAGACAAATGAAAGCTAAATCAATCCTGAGTATTCTTTGGGTAAGGCAAGATCAACTTTTAGCATCCTGGTTAATGTCTTCCCTCGGTGATGGAATTCTTGTCATGATGGTTGGTTTGGAAACTGCTCAAGAAATATGTCAAGCTATAGAAAGCAATTTTGCTAGTCAATCATATGTTAGAATCATGCAATACAAGCTAAAATTGCAAACTATGAAAAAGGCAAGCTTATCTATGAGGGAGTACTTGAACAAAATAAAAAACCACTGTGATTTTCTAGCCATTGCAGGAGAAAGGGTCTCAGAACAAAACCACATTCTTCACATCTTGACTGGTCTGGGATCTGAATATGATTCAGTTCTAGTTAATGTCACCTCAAGGTTTTCTCCTCACACCTTGTCTGGAGTACATGCTCTTTTGCTCACATATGAGTCCAGATCACTTGAGATGAATCAAGGCGCTATTGTGAGCTCTGAAGGATCCCAACCTTATGCAAATGTGGTCACTCAGAACACTCAAAGGAACTACAATGAAACTACAATCAGAACTTCAGTCAGTTTATAGGAAACAAAAATGCAAACCAAGGTGCAAGAGGAGGAAGAAACTCCTTTAAAGGGAGAGGCAGAGATAGAAATCAAGGGAACATGCCTCAATGCCAAATTTTCCATGGGATGAACCACACAACAGACAAATGTTGGTACAGGTATGAACCCCAGACCAACAATCAAAGTGAAAACCAAGGGAAACAGACTCCAAGGAGAAATCCCAGTATCAACATGGTGCAGGTTTATGGGGGGAAATTCCTATTCTGATAGTGGTTCTAAGACCAGCTGGTTCCCTGATTCAGGGGCATCCAATCATGTCACAAGTGAGCTGGAGAACCTGAACATTGCAAATGAATACAATGGAAACAGTAAGCTGTTGATGGGGGAATGGAGAAAGAACATTTATTTCCCACTATGGTAATTCTTTTTTTCAGCTTCCTGGACACAAAAAGATTTTCATTTTGAAAAACCTCCTACATGTTCCTGAGATTAGTAGGAATCTTCTGAGTGTGTCCCAATTTGCAAGAGAAAATAAGGTTTATTTTGAATTTCACTCAAGTGCATGTTTGTAAAGGATCAAGAAACTCAAGAGGTTCTGCTCAAGGGAATCCTTAAAGAAGGGCTCTACCAGTTCAACCTACAATGCTTGAAGAACAACTCTCTTCAGCCTTCATCTTCTCACTTAGCTCTTGGTATTCAACCTTTTTCTTATTTTTCTAAGATTGGTAAATGTAATGGTCTTGATCTTTGGCATCAAAGACTTCGACACACAAACTATAATTATGTTAAGAAAGCATTGAAATCATGTAATGGATTATGATGTCAAGTCTAACAATGAATTATGTGGTTTTTGCATGATAGCCAAAAGCCAATCTCTCCCTTTTGATCATTCTGAGCATGTGTGTTCTTATCCTCTTGAGCTTATTCGTAGTGATGTATGGGGACCATGTCATGTTAAGGCTTTGAATGGTTATACTTATTAAGTAAGCTTTATAGATCATTATTCAAGATTTGCATGGATATACTTATTGAAAGCTAATCTGATGTTTGTAATGCTTTTCTGAACTTCAAAGCCATGGTTGAGAATCAGTTTAATAGAAAGATAAAAGCCATGCAAACTGATGGTGGGGGAGAATATCAATCTCTATCTTCATATTTCCAAGAAAATGGGATAGTTCATACAACCTCGTGTGCCTACACTCCACAACAGAACGGTTTGGCAGAAAGCAAACACAAAGACATAGTTAAAATATGATTATCTCTCTTAGCTCACTCTCATCTGCCACTTTGCTATTGGGGTGATGCCTTCATTACTGCAGCATATCTCTTGAATAGGATTCCAAACAAGCCTCTGAATTTTAAAACTCCTCTTGAGGTCTTGTATGGACACAAACCAAATTATAAATGACTTAAAGTCTTTGGGTGCTTATGCTACCCTCATCTCAGGCCCTACAACAATCATAAGATGGAGTATAGATCATGTGCTGAAGTCTTTCTTAGGTACAAAAACCAATACAAATTAAGGGTACAAGGTTTTATTGCCAAACATGAAAATCACAATCACAAGGGATGTAGTGTTTGATGAAATAAGATTTCCATATCAAGAGAAAGAAAGCAGTCAAGTTATGCCAGAAAAGCCATGCAATGTGCCAAACATCCCTATCTTAGCTAAGGGACTGCAAGAAAATGAGCAGCAGGATCAAGGAGCCACCTCACCAGGTAGAAGTTTAAGCCAAAATAGGAAGATCAATGATGGTGGTGAAGAAGATGGTAGCAGTCCTCACATAAGCAATACTTCCATTTCTCAAATGAGCAGTTTCAGTCCTCCTGGCATTCCTCTTGTTGTGCAGCTGCCTATATCATCTGAGCCCACTAATAGTTCAAGTGAACATGAAGCAAGAACAAAACATCCCATGATCACAAGAGCAAGGGCATGATTTTCAAACCTAAGGCTTACACCATCATAAAGGAAGAGTCAGAACCAAGAAGCATGGATGATGCCCTAATCATGAAACAATGGAGGAGTGCCATGGAAGAAGAACTACATGGACCTTGGTCTCTCCATCGGAAGGAAGAAAATTGTAGGATTCAAATGGATATTCAAACACAAAAGAAGGTCTGATGGGAGCATAGCCAAGCATAAGGCCAGACTTGTAGCACAAGGCTACTCTAAAAAACCTGGTTTTGACTTAACAGAGACTTTCATCCCAGTGATTAAACATAATTCCATAAGAATCATGCTTACCTTTGTAGTCCATCATGGTTAGAAGGTCAGACAGTTGGATGCAAACAATGCTTTTCTAAGTGGTGATCTCAATGAAGCCATTTACATGAGACAACCCCCAGGGTTGAGCAAGCAGAAAATGAGCATCTTGTTTGCAAATTGTCTGAAGCTTTATATGGCCTTAAACAAGCCTCAAAGGCCTGGTTTAGCAAGGTGAAAGAAGAATTAAAGTTAATGGGTTTTCATAACTCAAGGGCTGACAGCTCCATGTTCTTCAAAACCAACCATGGTAAGTTCCTATTTGTCCTGATATATGTAGATGGCATCCTAGTAACTGACACTCACACAACAGAAATTGAAAGTTTCATAAATTCTCTGGGAAAAACATTTGCAATTAAGGATCTTGGAG